CCGCCGCCCCGCCGCCCGCCCGGCTCAAACAATGCCCTCATGTACCAGACAGTCATTGTGTTTACGTTTGTCGGGGTCCTCTCGCGGCGCGGATAGAATATCGCACCTGTTTAGTCCCCCGCGCGAGGACCGCGTCCAACTATTTTGTCCGGAGCGGTCGAGGCCGGCCGATATCACGCGGTCCTTCCTTGTCGTGGCGGCTGTTGCTCTTCTTACGTGCCGAGTGTGAGTGAGCGAGGCGCCCCGCGGGCGCTGCGTGCGGAACTGTCCCGCGCGCGTCCCCCTCTGTCGCGTCGTAGGGCCCGTGTGCAGGCCGCCGCCAGCGGTGCACTTTGCGCGGCGGCGCTTCGGAGGCGCCCCGGCGGCTTGGTGTCGCCGCCGCCACCGCCACCACCACGACGACGACGACGGTCTCCAGAAACTTGGATTGCAACAGCTGCGGGGAGAGGAGGAGGGGGTCGTGGGGGCGGTTGGTTGGTAGGGCAGCGCGGGTCGGAGGCGGGGGCCGCCCAGGAACAAGGGGGTCCGGACGACGGAGGGTTGATGGTGCGAACTTAGTTTTGGGGGGGAAGGGGGTGGGGTGCTGGTCACGGCGGGTGTGCGTTACCGACTGTCGAGTGTGATTTATCCCCCCCTGCTGGGCCCGGCCCGGGTGCGGGTCTGATTCGCACAGCTCAGTGCGCCCCGCCCCGCCCCGCCCCGGGCTTACTTCTGCCTGCTGGTCGCGCTAATGGAGCGGCTCGTGGGTGCGGCTGCGGTGGCCGCCTCCTGCGGACAAGGGCAAGGGCGGCAGGTCAGGCCGCCTAGAACAGCTGGGGCCCAGCTCGCAACTAAGTGTTCGTCCTGTAGTCCTATTTTCCCGAGGCCCATTTGTTAAAAAAAAAATCCAGGAGCTTTGGCGCCTGCGAAACTCGTGGTAGGCTACCCCGCAGTACACGCATGCACTGCATGGAGCTTTGTTGCCTACCCATCAGGCGCTATGAGAGCTTGCATGGGCTCAACTTGGCAGTTCCGTGACGGCGAGTTACGGACGTACTTTCTAGACGGCCATTAATGGAAATACCGAGAAATACGCCGTTATGCTATCGAGAGATAGGACACGCACTCACGGAGGCTGACAACTTGGTGCAAAACTAATGCGAATTATGTTATGTAGGATATTCAGGGAGGGTTGAAATCCGATTTGCTAATTTTCGTGTCCAGAGTGCGTTCGAGAGGTGAGGATGGCCCCCCACGTGGGCACCCGCGCGTCGGTCTCATTATCACGGGGTCCCCTCCCGCGACGCGTGGCCCGGCTGGGCTCGGCCCCGGCTCGGCTCGGGCACGGGCTCGGCTCGGCTCGGCATTGATTCGGCCGGTCCGGCTGGCGCCACTCGCTGCTCGGCTCGGCTCGCAGCGGCCCTCCCCCTCCCCGGCTCGGCTTGGCGCGCGGCGCGCCCGCCGCCACCGTTCGGCCCCACAGTTTCCCGCTGGCCGCGAAACCGGCTGCACCGCCTCTCTCTCCCTCTCTCTCTCTCTCAACCCCCTTCGCTCTCCCCCTCTCTCTCTCCCTCCGCGCCTTACCCCCCGCTGAGTGCGCGGGACACACAGGCGAGCCGGGCGCTGCAGGGGGCGCTTGTTCTGCTCGCGGGCGCTGCATACGACGACCTCAAGCCCGCACTGCCGAGGAGCCCGGCCAGGATGACATCGGGGTGGCCGCCGCGCCTGGGCGGGCGCTGACGCCGCTGACGTCCGCGACAGAGACTCGTGCAGCAGTGCGTCTCGGTGGTGACAGTGACAGTGTTGTGAGTGCGCGGTGCGTGCTGCGGGCCCCGAGTGCCCGCGCGGAGAGTGTTGTGCCGAGGCCAGCTTCAGGACTTGTCGTCTGCGTCCCGACTCCAGCTCCAGCTCGACGGCGGCGAGAGCCGGCGGTCAACTGACAGGTGAGCAGAGTGCCGCGTGGCGACGGTGACAGTCTCGCGAACGGAGCGACTTGATCCTGGCGGACGGACGGACACGTCATCGCGATCGTTCAGTGTTCGGGTGGGACGGGGAGGGGCGGGGGGAGGGACGGGGGGTAGAAACATCATGGGCCCCCATTAGGTTCAGGATCAGTACAGGAGTTCAAAGGGACCCCATGATATTTTTACCCCGGGGTACGAGTGTCATGGGATGTTGAAATGTTTTCAACGCCAGAACGACAGAGTGAGCTGAGCGGCTCGTGACAGGAGGCGGACGTGGCTGCGGGGAAGGCCAATGGCAGGCCAACAACGGCGGGCCAAACGACGGGCTTGTCCTGCTGTCAGACGACGCGGAGGTCAGCCTAAAACGAGTCAATCTAGGCTGGTGTCGCTGGGGCCAGGCGTGGCCGGGCGTGGTGGCTCGCGCGCGGCGCGGCAGGCCAAGCGGGCCGAGCCGCACGACGACGCGAGCAGAAGACCGCTGGCTTTGATAAGATGTGATCAGAGATGAGCTCCGCGCGGAGAGACCCGGCGGCCCGGCGGCCGCGAGCCCCGTCCACATGCCGCATGCAAAGCGAGGCGAATCGGACGCCCCCGGGAGCGCCGACGGGGCCGGCGGCGCTGCTGTGTCCTCCGCGGCCCAACTGTCAAACAGACGCACGTGCCTCTGCTCTGGACGCCGGCGGCGGCCCCGCCCCGCCCCGCCCCGCCCTGGCTGCCGGCCAGCACCGCGTCCGCCTCCTACCGCGAATAGACAAGTTTTGTCCTTTCATTTTCGTACGCGTCCGTCCCGTTATCTTTTGTCACCATTGTGTATCGCGTGTCCTGAATGGTGCGCGCGGCCCGCCGCCAGGTCGACGCGAGGCGCGGGACGAGGCGGAGGAGGAGAAGCAGCAGCAGCAGCAGCAGTAGCAGGAGGGCGGGGGAGCAGCAGCAGCTTTGTAATAATAATAAGAACTTTCGGGGGCTGAAATGATGAGGGGCGAAGTTTAACGTGGTGTAAAGCGTGTGCCGAGCCGACCTCGTTGCTGCTGCCGTTGCCGCCGACTATCGAAATCATCACAACTGTTGCGGGTTTGCGGAAGCAGTCAAAAATGAAAACGCTCTAGTCGTTATTTCCCTCCACTTTGGCGCGCTGCAGCTGTTGGTGCTGCGTTATTCTTATCGGCTCTTATGCCGACTCACGGCGGCAGGTAGCGGGCCGGCGGTGGCAGCGCGGCTGACGGTGACGGCGGGCCCTCTTCCGACGGGCACAAGTGCCTGCGAGTGTCCTGTCCGCGACCAGTGCCTGGCCGTCGAGGAGGAGGAGGAGGAGGTTCTTCTTGTTTGTGTGAGGGAGCGGCGGCTCGTAGCGGGACAGGTGCGGAAGAGTCGCTATTTGCAGACGAGTGCGTCGGACCCTCGCGGAGCCCTTGGGGGGGCATCCCAGGGGGGGCAGCGACGTGTTGTGGGTCACGGAGGGTCAGGGGCAGAGCGGGCAGATCGGCGAGGGGAAGTAAATTCTGGACGGGGCGCGCAGTCGGGCAGAGAGAGAGAGAGAGAGAGAGCGAGAGTGAGCGAGAGAGCCATGGCGAGGCAGCAGCAGCTAGCGGCGGCATGGGCATGACCGTGGAATCGTCCCATGAGGTCCATGAGTCTGTCATGAAATCGACCGTGCCCGTGCTTCCTGCTGGCCAGCGCGCGCATATGTCCCTCTGTCCCTCTCGTGTTAGGCCTCCCGTCTGTACGCCTGGCCGTCTCTCTCTCTCTCTCTCTCTCTCTCTCTCTCTCTCTCTCTCTCTCTCTCTTTTTTTTTCTCTCTCTCTCTCTTTTTTTCTCTCTCTCTCTCTCTCTCTCTCTCTCT